ATTACCAATTCAATTCTGGATTTAATGGTGATTTTATCCACTTTAAGAATCTAAAAAGCCTTACTTGTTATGTGAAGGTAGCACTATCATTTCCAATTCCATTCGTTAGTGATAAACTTGACACATTACATCTTGTAAACAGAAAACCATTAAGCGAATTTGAATATGAATTCATTGCAAAACATCCAACAATAACACAATTATCATTTATAAATGTAAATCAAGGAACGGATGTGAATATTTCAAAAATCGCCAATGCATTGCCATCAATTGAGAGACTTACAATCGGACAATTTATTAAAATTGAAAGTCTAATTCCACACTGGACCAAATTTCAAAAGCTCAAAGAAATTTCTTTTCGTTACAAGGGATTGGTTCAACAGAATGAGTTGGTTCCACTTTTGATCGATGGATGGTCTGTGTCAATAGTTACATATGGTTTTATAAAATTAATACGTTCAAAATGATGAGATATGACTGGAATTTTGAATGTACATACACACCAAACTATTAAATGAATTGCTTGAATTATTATTATTATTAATGTCATTTTTATTGTAATTTAAACGAATAAATATTTAACCCTCTAATGCATTAATTTTTTTTTCGACATGAGAACTATTTTTCTATGATTATTTTGGTTTAAAATTCCTTAAAAAAATAATCGAAATTAAAAAAATTGCGATTTCTGTCACACACATTGTGTCACATATTCAAATGTTGACATTTTTGAGAGTCACAAATTGGTCACTAAAAGATGACACCATTAATCACTAAAATTCTGCATCATTATATTTTTATTTTTTGCTTTTATTCAAAATTTCGCTAAGAGACTTTTTGGCCAATTGGCCTAAATAGAAAAATGGCCGAAGGTCTATTCCATGGGCCGAAATAATGTTGTCACAAATTATCACAAATTAGTCACTAAATCCCTAAAAAGGTTTCAAGGCAATCGCAAAAATTTGCCAGGCTGGATAGGGGGATCCTACATTTGTGTTTATAATTAAACAACCGCTTTATTTTCACTTGTCAAATGACCGGCAAATGAAAGCCTGAACCCTGCTGAATATACTTTCATTCATAAATAGAATCATTTGTTTCAAATTATATATTTTAGACAATAATTCATACACTCTGCCTAAAGGTAGGGCTATGGACTAGAGTGTTAACTTAAATTTTTCTGAAAAAATGGAGCGGGTTGACCACAACTCAATGTGAAGAATGCCTTCACTTTGTTATGAGCGAAAATTGTGAACGCAATGATTGTGAACGATGCTTAAGAGCTTTTCTTTTCCAGAGAAGAAAAAAATCAGCTATAAATAAAAAAAAAATTGTTTATAGAAACAAATATTAATTCTGTGATCAAAGCAAAGAAAGAGATTTTACAAGTTAAAAAAAATATTATATCGCATATATGTGTTTTCAAAAGTAAAACGACAATTCACCACACCTAAAAAAGTAGTTTAGTTCACCACCATTTGTCGTTCAATATGTATTACCTGCTTTGAGGCATTTTCAAATGCATTAGAAGGTTCAAATTCCAAATTTCATACACGAAAAACGTAGCCATATTCAGTGTTTGTGAGTTTGTTCAAAAATTGTTGTATTCCGACTTTCATTTGCACGGGAGCATCGAGTTTTGTGTCTTTCTTTCATCATTTTTCTGAAGATATTTTTAATAAATTAAATTCAGTAACTGATTTTCTTTACCCACTTATAAGGTCAAATATATTTGACAGTGTAATAATTTTGGCATTTTCTCTACACGTAGAGCATCAATTCTCAACTTACGAGAAAAGAATTCTTTGAATAAGTGGTATGTTTGTGCCATTTTGCTATGGCTGTTTAAGTTATATTTTGAAAATAATATTTCCTAATTAACTTTTTACAGGAAAATTTCGTAATCGATAGAAACAGTGAAGAACAAGAGAAAGGATGAAATTCGTTGATATGGATGTTGATTGTATTGAGAGCTGCTTGGAGCACTTATCATTCGATGAACTGTTGAGTGCGGCTGCTTCCAACAAACGAATTAATCAGGCGGCCAAGTTTATTTATTCTCGAAAATTTAGTTCAAAAAAAATTTCGTTCAGTGTAAATAAAGGATTTGAAGCACAACTAGTTAATCGGATTGTGTATTTTGGTGACGATTCATTAGAAGACCATTCATTCAGAGACTTGAAATCAAGTTTAAAATTTTTGAGGTGTTTCGGTCAACTTCTAACTAATATAGAAATTCTATTTCAAAATGACATGCAAAATGATATGTTTATGTTTGGTGACTTTCCCGATGGGAGAAATGCACCGAATAAATTTATATGGACTCAACATGTAATTGAGTATGTAAATGAATATTGCGCCGAATCTTTACTTGATGTTCATTTTTATGGGATTCGAGATTTACCAAATTATCTAAAAAAGCCATTCAGCAGAGTCAAAAACATCACATTGGAAAATTGTTATTTTTCTGATTTGGTTGAAAACAATTGGTTAAATGACCGTTTTCCAAGAATGCAAGAACTTCATTTGAACCTTACTTATTCGAATGATGTTGGTTCATTTAAATTTATTGAGAATTGTTTTGGATTTTTGGAGCATTTGAACATTTCTATGCAAGTATTTTATTGCACGGACGATCATTATAGAATTGTTGAGCCAGGAATTAATTCATTCAGAAGAAATATTTTGGCGCTCTTTCATTTAAATCCACAATTAAAGCATTTGGAAATTTTTGCAGCGGACTTTTTCTATAAAAAATGTCCTTTTATTGGCGCAAATGATCTTCAAAGCGTGAACAAGAGTCTTCAAAATCTCGAGAGTTTAAAACTCAATATACATTACCAATTCAATTCTGGATTTAATGGTGATTTTATCCACTTTAAGAATCTAAAAAGCCTTA